AAGCTGCGGGGACGTCTACAGCTGCACTTCGTTTGCATTTGCTTAGAAGGCTTAGATGATCTGTCCACTCCGGCCTTTCTGGATGGCACACGTCATCTTCTAAGCACCCCTTTTGATCTTCAGAATCCCTCGAAGCCTCCCAGACCTTCTAGTCCGTGCTACAAGACGCAGGTCATCTACGGCAAACAACACTGCTTCTGCTACCTCAGACCGCCCACGGCCTCATCAACATTGTTGGAGATTAAGATGACATAAGCTTTGATAGTTGGATCCTGGTGTAGAATTTGATTCCACCGCCTCAGCTGTTGGCGTTGGTCGGTTGGTGTCGGTGACACTCTGAGCCCTCTCGAAACAGGTCTCGAATTCAACGACGAGTCTCCACACTGCGGCAATTTACACACGTATACGTGTACATATAAACACGTATCTACAGATATATATACATATATATATATATATATGTATATGTATATATATATATATATATATATGTATGCACTATATAAGAGTACATTTCTTGAGATATCTACTGAGACTAATTATAATGTTATATAATGCGCACCTCGACCACATCCATGACGACACAACACTGGCACACAGAGTTGAAGTCACGACGAACCCGTGCCGGAACGCTGGCAGTGTTAATCAAGGCAAGACTACTTCTCCTAGCGTCAGGAACGTGGTGGCATCTCAATCCCAAGTCGTCTGGGTGATCGAGCAAATTCGAGCAGAATCCTACTATATACATGCGAGCTGTTTCGACACAACGGATTCGCTGAATAGACACAATTTGGCCGCAACTGACCCACAGATGCCAGGCTTTAGGGTGAAAAAGCAGGCGGTGCTGATGTCCACCCCGACAGCAACTGCAGCAGATCCGGATGTGTGCAGGCAAAAATGGAAAGGCAGGGCAACGGGTGTTCTTGTCTGGTAAGGAGCCGAGGCGGGTCTAATAGCAAGCCAAGCTGCCGAATGTCGATGTTGTACCTTCCGTGGCGTGCTTCAAGGAACCGTATGACTAGTCTCGACTGTGTGCCACACCGAACTCAACGCTTGCACGAGATGCAAGTAATCTGAACCCAAGATCTCGAAGGATGCCTTGTCCCAAATGCTGAGGACGTCTTTTACTTCCTACTGTGACACTGTGCCATCCTGCAGGGCCGAAGTATTTCCAGCGAGAATCAAATGGTTAAAGAACTCATGCTTGTGCTTCCCAATGAATCCCAAGAAGACTTGGCCTCTGCAGGTCTGCGTCGCTGACGACCAGCAGGAAGCCTGACCACTGCAGGATCCACCATGCACGCGAAGGCATCATGCCCCTGTCGTGATCGTCGTTCAATGCAGAGCAGCGTTCGTCGGCACTCTGCCGGCCGAGCTCGGCGATTGCGCGAGCAGTAGCCTCTCCAGACTCCACGCTTCAGACGGCTACGAATGTTTGCTACATGTTCTGGCTCTTTACCAAATTTAGCATTCATGCTTCTGTTCTTCACTCTTCACGCCTCCAGTGTATGGTCTCCAGGATAGCAGAATTGAGCATGTGCCTGCAACGGGCTCGGCACTCAGGATATAAAACAAGCCGCTGCAAGACAGTCACGAAATCTCAAACGGCAAAACCACGCTGACCTCGATGTAGAGCTAGGATGCATCCAAACGGCGCAAGCTCTCCAAAGCTTCTCAACCGAGCAGCAAGACGGCAAAACGCATGTTAGAATCCACGCCTCCATGGACTTGCAAATCTCAAGCCGCTCCCTGTCCTCGTCAAGGGCACACCGAGAGGAAGCGGTACTGTTTTTCACACATTGTTACAATGTAAGCTTGTGCAAGAGTCGTAAGTGGTGTTTCGGACATTCGGACGTCAAGTTTGCAAAAATGGCCTAATCAAGGTTGCCAGCTGTCATGCCTGGCAAAAGCCGCTTGCTATCTCAAGGAAAGCTCGCCTGCTACATGGGCCTACCGCAGAGAGTCTACCTTATCACAGTCACAGCTTCACGTCCAGAACCCTGCAGTGGACTGCGGAAACTGACTTACTATCGCTGATGTCATCGTGCCCCCCCACCCTCCAACAATGCCGGGAAGAACAGCAAACGACCCCATGTCAGTGAGAACAGAAGCTTCGGGTGTTATGTAGTGTTTTTGAGTTTGAGAACTGCTGTCTGCTCCCACAGGACAACTGCAGTCTGAGGTTCCGAGAAGGGAGGCCTGCCCCATTCGACGAGTCGCTCAGCCTCGGGGCCGGTGCCGCTGTGTCCAACCATGCGGTAGTCGTACTTGTCCTCAGGCCATGCCATTAGCTGGGCCTGGGCGGCCTGGGCATACTATCTCCTATCTCATCTATCTCCCTGTCCTCAAAGCCTGTGAAGCTCTCGAAGATAAAGGCCGCAACTTCTTGCAATCGCTGCAGCCGTCGGTCAATCCTATTGAATGTATACCTGCTGGTGCCGTGCTGAGCGAACGGCGGCTCTCGAAAAGTGGGGCAGGCTCAGCATGGCTCAAACCGAGGCACATGCTGCCGCTGATATCCATGACAAAGGTGAGGCGCTTTGGATGTTGCTGGCTTTTGCCAAACATCTGTCCCTCAGGATCCCCACGTCGCATGTAGACCGTCTTGCACCCAGTGATGCCATCCTGAGCTCTTCGGTTGAGGCTTTCTTCCCGTTAGCCTCAAGAATTTATTTCGCTTTGGCACGAGCAGACGAGGAGCCACCAAGCGACTCTCATCCAACTCCCCCATCGTCTGATTCTTCAGCCACTGTCGCTCGTGCTGTCGAGCTGCCTGGCTTTCCAAGCAGACCTGCTCGGAGCCATTCATCACAGAAGCGTCAGAAGCAAAGTACTGAGGGGTGCCTTCATTTCTTGAATTTGCGTGGCAACCTGTCCTCGCAGGGCCGCATAGGCCTCTCCTTCTTTCAAAGACATCTTCATCTCGGCAAGCCTTCCAGAGAGAGCAAGAGCAGCCTTCAAAAAGGGGTCCGAACTCAAGCTGACGGGGATCGGGCAGCCGTAGCAGTAGCCGTAGCAATAACAATAGCAACAACAGTAGCAGTAAGCAACAGCCGTGGCAATCAAAGTAGTAGTAACAGTAGCCGTAGTAATAACAGAACGAGTAGCGGTAGAAACAACAATAATTTAGCCCACGAATGCATACGACCGCTTCTAGTGAGCTGCAGTGGCCCTTTGCTAGGCTTCATTCATCTTCATGGCTCATGGCTGATCTCTGCTGGTGCAAGACTGGATGTCTTGGGCTAACATAGCTTTCAATTGCTCACCGAGACCCTTCCGTTGAGCATTCCTGCAGGCGACTGCATTCGGTTGCATCGCGTCGGAGCTGTTGCTGCGAGAATGCTGCTCATTTCTAGCATGTCAAGATTCCGTGGTCAAAGACAAGCTGACTTTCAAACCTGCTGAGCTAAAACGAAGCAAACCGCCATGCCGCCTTGCCTCTTCTGGTAGGCTTCGTCCGCCATTTGCTGAGCTTTTCGCTTAGTGGCCTCATCCAAGCCATGCTTCTTGTCCTCGGAGACCTGCACCAGCTTTTGACCCACATCCAGTCGGTAAGGCCCCCAGCGACCTCCAAGTCCTCGATTCGGGCACTCTTAGACTCTTAGCCATTCCATGACACCCCGTCCCGCTTCCAAGACTAGAATCCCTGACAGCAAAGAGTTTTTGTCTCTGTCCTGCAGTGCCTGTCCCGCCGCTCCCACCAGCAAATCGGTTGCCACCAATATGTTGCTGGCCATCCCACTCACCATGCTTTGGCCCGGCCTCAGCCATGTCCGGTGGCCGCTGTCCATCTGGATTGTCCTGGTTAGTGACATCTTTCGACTTGTCCCTGTTCTCATCCAGTCGCAGAGTCATGTTGCCCTGATTCTTTCGTCCCTCAAGAAGACGTACTCCCACTTCCGTAGTCGCAATCCCATGTCTTTGCAGCACTTCCAACAAAGGCTTGCGCTTCTTGGTATCGGCGATGTCAAAGGCAAACACGCCAGCAGCGACTTCCTCCAGGGAATCTCGAGGAAAGCGCTGCGCATGGCTTACGAGTTTGACGAGCTCCCGCGTCGAGTACGGATAGGCCAACTGGCCTGATGCCACGAGCTCCCGCAGCTCTGCGAATAGCAGGGAGAGCTGAATGATTTGATTCTTGGGAACATCAGGGCCGACACTCTTTAGCAGCTCCACTTCACTGGCAATGTCCGGGTTATCCACCACATGGCAGCTGAAGACATCACCACAAACCTTGAACAAATCGTTGCCCATGAAAGGGTATCCTGGGCGATTTGCCAGTACTAAAAGCCTGAAGTCGCTGGACATCTTCACGACTTCATCAGCTGCCTCCGCAAATCGAGCATCGTTTTCTCGAACAACCGTGCGCCCATCGGGGAGGCTTAATTCGCCATCCTCGGACAAAGCCTTCAGCACGCAGACGACTTCCAAAGGTGCTTTGTCTGCCTCATCGACAACTAGGCACCGTCCGGCCTTCACCGCTCGCAGCAATGGCGAATCTTCCCAGACCACTACTCCAGAGCTTAGACTTGGTGCAAGCGTTAAGCTCTGCACCGTCGTATCTCGATGGAGTTGGATGTATTCCTGAAAGCTTACAGTCAACAGACTACAGGATGAGCGAACAGCGAACTGCCCCTACACTCTGCTCAGCACCGCACTCGTTCACATTGCAGGAGCCCGAGCAGTCGGTCTGTGAGCTTGTTCTTGCCCACACCCTGGTTCCCGACAAGGAGCAAGTGATGACCTAGAAAGACAATGCATGAGTTCTCATCATACTGTGTGTTGTGTTGCCACGAGGGTAGTTTTCAACCACGTTTTCGAGCATTCCTAGATAGGTGATTTCTCCGAGAATCCCGCATCTTTTCTTTCCTGAACTCCCCGAGTTTCGCGACGAGATCACAGACTTGACACCCAGATTGGATGGAAGGGCTTCTGCTTTTCATACAGCTGGCAGCCGACTGTGCGTGAGAAGAACAGCGGTCGGATAACCCAGGTTTCAACCAAATATCTGTTGTCGTTCTTCCGCGAACCCTCTCAGACTCTCGCGGCGATCCGAGACACAACACATTCTACGACGTGCTTTGCACCATGAAAACGACCGGATTGCAGTCTGGCTGTTGCAGGTTTCAGGCGTGCCAGAAAATCTTACGCCTCTAAGCTCAAATTTTGATGCTCGGTTGACGGGTTTCTGGCAAGATCTTTCCAGCTCAGCAATCCCTTTCGGGTCGGGACTGTGCACAGGATCACATTACCGGCGAGTGGGGGCCCCGACCAAGCGACCAATCAAGTAGCATGCCCTTGAGGATGTCGACGTGCTGTGGAATGTCAACGAAGGCTACATCGGGGACCAACTCCGGCCTAGTGCGGATCTTCACGGGTAGTACTGACAGTAGCCACTCTTGCCAGGCACCTTGCCTGGCTGGCACCCGCATGGGACATGAAACATCTCCAATCTTCAGGATGCCGTTTGCCACTCGGGCAGCTTCAACTGGCTTCCTGCGGTGGGGCAAAGGCACATCAGGACCCTGCACAGTCCGCGAATCGAACAGGCAAGACCACGAGCTTAGAATAGCTTGGGTGACACCTGTTCACCACGGTACATACTTCTCTAGACGACGAAACCGGGCGATTGAAAACAAAGTGATCCAATCCTCGCAGAACCAAAATCTGGAGACACCAGCGTCTCCAAAGTGATGAAATGCAGAGTCCCCCTTCCAACACTACGTAAGATCTCACCGGCGGTCCTCAAAAGGCTGGCTTCACCTTGCTTTCGCAAGCTCTCGAGTCTTGCACGACGTTGCTGCTCCCTGCACGCAGATAGGGCTAGCAAATGTGAGCTGAAGCACAGAGGGACCCGGCCCGGGGAACCTGTCAGACTCTGCCTTCTCCCTTGCTTCGTCTACTTCTTGGCCGCCTCCAAACATCCTCGCCTGTGCTGCATCCCTGCACCAATGGTCCAAGCTTCCGACACAGTCTGCCACTCGTCCTGAATGGCCATATTTTCAAGTTCCCGCAGCTCCTCCGCAGTGCGGAAAAAGACGCGGAAACCGAAGAACGCGCTGGCAATCTCTGGCCTGTCGACGCTTTCTCGAATCGGCATCTGCCATGAGCGCATGTGGCACCCACTGCTTGATCGGCACACCTCGGCAAAGGGCCAGCAGCTTGACGCAATTGCAGCTTTGCTGCGGCAGAGCCCGTCAATCGGACTGGCAAAACAAGTGCATGATGAATAATGCTGCAAAAGTAGTTTCGGTGCCTGATTCTTTCAGCGCGGCTTGCAGTATGCGGTGTACAGCCTGACTTTCGGAAGAAACACATGCAAAAACCAACAACCTCAACATACCTCGGCTCATGTTCCAGATCGCATGCACTTAAGACTTTAGACTTCAGGCAAGTCGAGTTTCGATCCCGAGCCTCCTGGGAGGACGGCGGTAAGAAGTCTAAGCATGCCGAGAAGACGCGGCTCCTGGGAGACCCCGCGCGAGAAGTGTGTCCAAGGCAGATGAAGGCCTCTAATCTGAGGTGCTGGCATGGCCCCCACCACATCGCCAGGCCGCTTGTCGAGGTGCACAGCAATGCGCAGCAAGATGCGCAGCGTCATCCTCCCGAGACACGCAAGCATAATCCCTTGTGCGCCTCCGTGCCGTGGGATGCCGTGCTGTCGCCTCAAAGGCTCCAGCCCGGGATCTTCGAGCGAAGCACTTCGCATCTTCTCACCGAACATGATGAGACCTTCGAAGACCTCGACGTGGGAAACGTGCCGGCGGCAGTCACATGTAAAGCGAGGATCACATGCTCTGTGCCTGATCGTTCTTGGACCTCGGTTGCGCGAGCTAGTTATGGTAACGCTGGTTCTCGAGCCTTTCAGGGAGTGTACGTGCGACCGCTACTACTCAAGTGACCCATGGCTTTGATTGCCTTGAGACGAGGCAGCAAAAGCGGGGCTCCCACACCCTGGAGCGGTTCGCCAGCTGCACTTGTTCCTGGTGCGAACCAAAGAAACTCAGGACAAAGGTAGTGGAGGGCATGTGTGCTTTGCATCCGTCTGATACTCGCAGCAGACATTTAGCAACACTCTTAGCACCAACTTCAGCGCCTGAGCAGGCAATGGAGCCAGAGAATGGAACTGGAAGAGTGTGACCACCTGCCGTCTGTATCTACACCTTCAGAATGTCCTCCGGCTACTGCTACGATTCGCCTCGTCATCAAGCCAAAGATTCTGCCGTCCTGTCGATTCCGATGAAATCTGTATACAACCCGCGATAAGCCACTCCATTGCGAGACGGAGTATGTAGATAGCCGGATAGCCTTGGCCATTTCCTAGCTAACAGATAACTTGACTGCAAGCTTCCCAACTGGTGCGCCTTCTCGTTGTGATGTTTGACTTTCTGCAGTGGCCACACACCGGAAAGAGGGATGCACCTGAAGTCAGGCGAGAAGTTCTGTTGTGTAGAGGCACGCCTTGCGCGTGACTTGAAGTTGGGCGCTGGCAGCTCGAAAGCGCACATGCGCCTCTTCAAATTCCCTGCCTGAGTCACGATTCTCACCCGGCACTTTTGCACTGCTTGCACTTTTACGTTTTGCCATCAGAATTTTGGGCGCGGGCAGTCTTGGCAAAGGCCCTTGGCAACACTAAGCTTTCTCCATCTCTCTGGCGACACCTTCAAGGGGCAACGCGATCCGGAGAAGATTCCAAGGGCATTACGCCTGTTCCGCACCAGCCATCAATCATACTTCCAGATCATCCAAGAAAGCAAACAAACCTCTCGCAGACTCCAGCCACTGCTACAGTAGGGGCCCTCTAAACTCCAAAACCCTGCAAACTCTGTAAAGTCTGCCTGAATAAAATTGAATAAGCTTGCAATGAAGGGCAGTCTTCAACGACTCGTCCCACCCTTCCCTACAGCTGTCCCACCAGGCGGGAGCCATCCGGTAGTACAGCTTCTCGGTCAACTAGGAGCGGGCCTCAAGGACGGGCTTCGTCATCATTTTTGAAGGTACGCAGCACAGCAAGCCAAGGCCGTAGCCAAGGATAGCCACGTGGCCATGTGCCAAGCGATGCAGGCCATCCAACACTGCTATGTCCCCATGAATGGCCGCCTTCCGCGTGCGAGATTGCCATCTAACTCCATTGATTGAGTTCAACTGCGCGAACACGACCGTAGGCGCTAGACTCACCCGACCAGTCCCGCCAGATTCACAGAATGACTGAAACTTCAAGACCTCAACACCCCAATTACTCTGAAGTGGCTGCAAGATGCTCCAAGTGATCGTAGTAAGCATGGTTCTAACAAAATACCCAAACTCCCATCATACGAAAATGCAGTCGACATACAGAGATCGGGGTTTGTACACATGCGCGGGCACGACGACCATGTAAACTCTCGTAAAGTCGAGCTAAGTCAATGCGCGATGCCTGTGGGTGCGTGTGTGTGTGTGTGTATGCTCGTATAAGCAAGGCATGGTTGACAGGCAAAAAACATCGACCTGCACAAGTGCAGAGTCTTGCCACTGTGTCTGCCCAGCTTGGTCCGTGGTGCGGCGCTGCAGCAGGTCTCGAGCGAGCAGGTCCTGAACAAACACAACAGGCCCAGATGGGAGTTGCTCGCGACGGCCGGCACTCCCACGAGCCTTGAAGCAGAAGATAACCCGCCGTCGGAATCCCAGCTGCTCTGAGAATGCTCGCACCAGCGCGCTCTTGCCAACACCCTGTCAGGCATTGGGCGCTGGCATGTGCAGAAATGTGCAAAACGTTGTGGCAGGAACAAAAACTTAAGCAGCTCTCGCAACTGGCCGCATGCCTTCTCTCCGACGAGGCAGATATCCATACCGGCTGCGTGGTCTTGCATCATTGCCCCCACCTAATGCTCCATGACAGAGTGAGAAAAGAAACAACAAAGAGGTCCGAGAGGAGTCCAGCCCGTGCAAGAAGCATCTCCCGTCTCCAGTGAGTTTTCTTAACCTACTGAGGACTGAGGACTTGGCAAGACGTTTTTGCGTTGGGGTCAAGCGCAGGCTTCCAGGTCCAGCCTCCTCCACTTGCCTTGGAGAACGCTCACGACCTGGACCCGAAGTCCTCAGAAGCATCCTAGTAAGAAGTCGGCCAGTTGCCAGCAGGAGCCGCAACGTCCTGTCCACATCCGTCAACGAAACTCTGAAAAGGGCAAAGCAACAGCAAAGCAATGGCTGCGCTATGCTACACCATACTACGCCGCTCGCTACGCTGCCGCTTCTTCTTGCTCTCCGGCCTGGAGCTTTGAAAGGGTCTCTTCACGGAATGTCACTGTGGCCATGCCTCAGAGTCGCTGACAGCCGATAGCCGTGCCGGTTTGACTTTACTGTGCTCTTGCTGAGATATCTGCAAGGCTCCTTGGACTTCCGCACAGTCTCCACCAGATATCTTGAAGCCTTGCTGCGTGTCCCTCAAGGCCGTGCTGACCCGCCGCTAGCCGCTAGTCCGTCCTCTTTTCGGCCTGTGCCAGATGCCGCCCCTTCCGTTGCCTTGCAAGCATGGAAAACAATTCCGAGGCAGCCACGAGTTGCACCGTGTCAGACAGCACCGAGCTGGTGACAGCGTGCACGAGATCCAGCGGATAGCTGCGCCTGTGTCGGCTCAGCGGCTCAGCTCGCCGCCCGGCCACGGAACGCAATGCACCAGACGCACAACTGCCGAGCACATGTGCCTCATTGTCGCTAAAGCCGACACATTCGGGAAAAGCTCCATCACGCCTTAGATAAAGGGGCCAAGCATCTGGCAAAGACGGCTGATCCTGCAGCTGGCTTGCTTCCAACTTTCTGTCTTGTTACTTCTTGCTGCAGAATCGTACCACACGATGCGGTATTCGCACCATGTCACGTGCCATGTGCTTGCCAGCATATGTACAGAGGCACGACAGGTTCCATGCAGCTCTGGCTTGTTCAAACCTTGCGGGCGATCTCTGGAACCGCACTGGGGGCGAGTGGATGAACCTTCGAGCGTCCCTACCTTCGAGCGCACCTCATGTTGAGATGCTCGCTCCGCCCGGCTCGGCATGGCCCAACACAAGCCAAGAACCAAAGAACAAAGGCCCAGCTATGCGGAAACGGGCATCGGAGGGCCTGAAATGCTCTCAAAAAGCGGCAAGGCTCCTGAGTTGCACTTGCATCATGTACTTGTCTGGACTCTGGCGGTAACAGGCATGACGAAGCCAAAGGCTAAGTGAAGAAACCGCGGTCCAGAAGTTGCAGCCGCCACACTTGCAACGGGAGCATGGTTGCTTAACCACGCCGCTTGCTCCTGAAATTCAGGATCCTGGGCCGGCGCATGGAGCTCGCGGTACTGAGTCCCAGCATGCTGACAAAGCAACGTGAGCACCGAAAATCGAACGTGAAGAGCCAGGTAGCGGTCTTGAGGTTGGCCGAAGCGAACCTCGCGCGGTCATAAGCCCAACTGCTGCATTCTAACTGCGCTGATCTGCGCTGATTTACATGCATGCTTCAGCCTATGTATCCTCGCTGATTGACTTAAAATCTCGTATGTGTATGCATTGACATGCAGGCAGACACGTGCGCACGGATGTATAGGCCGGATATGTACACGAACATGCGTGACTAGTAGCGAGAGCTGGTAACAGGGGCCTGGTGCCCCCCTGCTTTCAGGAGCTTTGCGATACTTTGCGATGTGAAACCAGTGTTAAGGGGGGACAACAAGCACAAAGGACTAGCTAAATTAACATAAGCCATCTGCTGTTGTTCCCCCAACTTCCGACACATGCGTGAGTTGAACTGCATATCCAGGGGTTTTACAGAGTGATTCCATCAGCCTGTACAAGCTGCATGGGTTCGTGTCTCATCACACGCTCGCCCTTCTGTCGTGGTTCATGGGTATCAACCGGGACAGAAACACTGCGATATATATATATATATATATAACATACACTCTCTCTTTCTGTCCCTCTCTGAATCCTGACAGGTCACCACAGCGAGAGCGGGTGCCAGGCGACTCCACGCAGAACGATGTTCCTCTGCACTTCTAGGCACATGTTCAAGAGAGGACTGAATTTGGCTTCAATGCCACACCAGTCTCCTGCTGTTTGGGTGGCGCCGCACCATTGCACCGGCGCTGCCAAGCCGTCGGGCTTCCGACAAGAAGCTCTCTAGAGGTTCAGCAAGCTCTCCTTCGCACCCACTCGGCACGCGGCAACAGGCTGAAAGCAGCAACTGTCAGTATGTCTGCAAACTCCGTCCAGCGTAGGAAAGTGAAGTCGTCTCGTTGAGCGCCGCGGCATGTAGGATCAGATCCCTGAAGAGGCCAAGCCAGGGGAGCAGGGTTTCTCACGAGGTTCCTGGAGTTCTTCAACAGCTTTAGAGGGGGAACCAGGATACACCTGGCTCCACGATTCGCGCGAGCGCCGCTGTAGTTCCTACAGTGGATGTGACTGTCACTTCGAATTGCTTTTGCATTGGACCCTCCCATGGGCTCCGCCACACCCTTGAACCTTAGGCAGAAATAAACGCAATTCCTGCAGCACCTATCCTACCGACAGAACAGCGACTTCCACGCGGTCGTCCGCATGGTGAGGAAGCTTCTGGGACGCTTCATGTCCTTGTGGTAAGAAGCCCCATTGCAGCCGAACTACAGACCTTGTAGTCGCTTATGCTGCTCCAACTTCAGAACGGGGTTAGATACCAGCCGGCCAGCTGGTAATTGTGGGTTTTTCGGTGGCTCCAGTTTGGCACAATTCGGCACGATTTAGAATACATGCACGGTCAAAGCTATATGGGCGATGGGCAATATTCGTTTGCGCGAAAACGGTCTTTGTCTTGAAAGCATCGTTGTTTTGGTGGTTCAGTACATCGTTTTACAGGTTTTACATATCCAACGGACATCAGTCGCATAAGCATCATAAAATTCATAAAGCAAGTAATCCGCCGAGTTTTGATGGTTTCTACTAAGTAACCCTCCACCTAATCCTCCTCCCTGCACCCAAACGCAACCCGCCACCCGCTTTTGGTGCCTGTTTTCGACCCCCTTCCGCCCTGTCACCCGTGATTTTCACAACTTCCCATCTCCCGCCCCCCTTTCCCCTTCAATTTGTTGCTGATTTGCCGCACCTCTTCTTCCCCTCGCCCCCCCCCCTCCCCCCTCCCTTGCCGCACCTTTCTCCCTGCCCTTCCCCCTTCCAAGCGTTTCCTCCCTTTCCTCCTGTTTCCACCTTCCCACTGCTTCCTCCCCCTTCCCCACTTCCTTGTTCTCTTTCTCCATCCCTCACAACTTTTCCATCTTCCCGCCACTTTTCCATCTTCCCACTGCTTTCCCTCGCGTGTTTTTCTACTTTCTGCTCCTGCTTCTGCCAGCCTTCCGGGCCCTGTTCGAGTACAACAGGTGCTGCCAGTCGCTGTGCTCCTTCTGTGCCTGCTGGTGCCGCTGCTGCTGACGGTGCACCACTGCTACTGGAGCCGCCAGCCGAGGCGGGCCGCGTAGCGTCAGAATTAGCAAGCATGTCGTGTCATGTCGAGAAAGATTCCTTAAACACCGCCGAAGTTGTGGAAGAGCACACCAGGGCATGACTGCTGTGCCATGCAGGCAGAGCTTGACTACACGGCTGAGAGGTCTTGCTAGCGACCTGGTAGTGAGGGCTCAGATAAAGCATGGGGAAATATTCATAAATGGCGGCTATCGTTCTGATCTCGTTTTAATATCGCTCCAAGTCATGTCTCCTGATCTCGTTTTTCACTAAGTCTTTGAAGCCTTCCTCCGACTACGTAGCAGAGATAGCAAGGGAGAGAGAGAGAGAGAGAGAGAGAGAGAGAGACGAGCTTATCGTTTTGGGGGGTTCAGTATATCGTTTTGCATATCATACGGCATACCCCATACATACATCTGACCTTATCGTTTTCCGCAATAGGGCATTGAATGCATGCCATATGATTTCCAAAGACCTCCCGAGGACTACTGACTGTGTTATACGGAGTATTTTGCTCTTTGCTCATAATATGCATCCTGCAACAAGGCGGTAAACGAGCTCGGCGACAGGCGGGCACGACAAACGAGCGCGATCCGATAGAGGAGACACTTGTCCGCCTCACCACCTAGACCGTAGCAGCATCATCATGCTCACGCAACATCCGCCACAGAAATAGAACATGTAAGAATTCTTGGACATATGTATGTGCGGACACCTCCAAGAAGCAGATTTGCTTTCTGGCAGCTCTGGCTCTCGCTACGCGGCGTGTTCGCGCGAACCCCTGGCACATGCCCTCATGAGTAAGAGGACTCGGAAGCAGAAGCGACGGACTGGCTGTGCCACTGCCGCGCCTGCAGCACTGCAGCTCAGATGCCAAAAAGCGAAGAGACTGCACGTCCTTGGCATCAGAAGCTTTTCAAGTCTCGCTTGGAATGTGGGAACTTCTCTATATCAAGGTCCCTTTTCGGGTCCTGTTGATTAGGGTGCCGTACTATTTTGTGGACCTAAAACGAGACCATCATTTAGAGAACTACCCATGTGATGGCAAACCTTACAGCAGCCACGGCTCTTGGGCGACAACGCTGAAGGCAAACTCCTTATTCGCCTTCAGGCCTGGGACGGAGCAGAATTCCGCAGAAAGAAAAGCGGACAACTGACATGGACAGGCACACAGCTTCTGCCAGTCCTTCGTCGGCGTATTCCAGCACATCGCATGACCGATCTGCGACACAGCGCAGGAGGAACTTCGCATTGGCCCGGAAGGTCGGTGCATGCTGCAAGGCAGAGATGTCCTCCAGGCGGCCCCAGAAAAACTTAGGTCTTTGGGTCCTTGTGCTTTTGCTCCTGGGAAACGGCGCACCAGACGACCTGCATCAATGCGAGGCTGCGGTTTGGAGCGGAGCCGCGTGTGCAACTCGGAGCCAGGAGCCTCCTCGTCTTCCTTGAGCTCGTCAGATACAAATTCCAGTGCCGCACCGGAATTGGCAAGAGCGGCCTGACAATGGACGCAGGAAGAGACAAAGGGAAGTGCGAGCACTGGGCGGTACCGAAGGCTATCCCAGACAAGGGATCCAAGGAGGCAGGGTTGCGCAGGACAACACGCAATGCTTGCGAAGGTGCGAGAACAAGCTGCTTGTCTCCACGAAGCTCTGCTGAAACGTATTGGAGGCTCCGACCTGCGCCCAGAATGTCCGAAAGTCAAAGCCTCATGAAGCAAGATGGAGACGGAATGGGCCGCATGCCGCTACCCGCCTGCTGTCTTGACCGCTTGCAAAGCGAAATCTCGCTTATCTCGCAAGCCATCCGCGAATCGCATAGCTTCAGCACAAGAAGCGATCCCATGCAGAGCAACTTCCTGTCAGGGCTTGCGCCGTATTTCTGTGCAACTTCGCGCACTTGTGCAAAAGAACAGGAAGTCCGTGAGTATGTTTATAACCGTGATGTGGGCAAGAAATGTGGGCAAGAAGGGAGAAGAGCTGGCCCGGACCCTGCCCCCCCCCCCCCCCAAAGGGCCTCGTCTCCGTGGAAACGTGGTGCGTGCTCCAGGGCCACACCATGGAGTTGCACTGCTTCCAAGACAAAAGCACGATCTTCTAGAAGAGATTCGCCTGGAGTCATAGCAGGTTGCCTACAGTGAGTGCATAATGAGCCATTTCAAGGTGTGCCAAAAAACATCGCCTGCAAACGCCATGGCCGCAGGGTTCTGCCGCACCGACGACAACACCAACTCGCGTTCATCCCGAAGCTGCGCAGAGGCAAACCGCAAAGCACGCCCATCGTTTGCTAGCGCGATGGCAACAAAGTCGTGGTCTGCCTGGCATGAGGAAAGCTCAGTGTGTGGAAGATTTGGATGGTTGACAAGAACTATCCGCACTTTTCACCTCTAATTAAACATCTGCCACATCATGCTCTCTGCAAGGCAGTGCCCAACCCAGAGTACCGCGAGTTTCTTAAGCCTGTCGACTTCAATTTCTCCAATGGTCGCTGTAGGCTAATGTTGGGCACGCTTCGCATTACCCTTGGGGGCTGGCAAAGCTTTGTATGCTGGTGACTCCGCGGCATACTTGGACTAATTGGGCGATCACGGTCCGAGACAAGCTGGGACGATCTCAACTTTGGAGTCCGACGCCCGGAAGGCAGGAGACACTAAAAGCTCTGCTCGATGGAGCACGTCGGGATTCTTAGAGTGCCAGCAAGTGGAGGCCCCGGCCGGAGGCCCCGAGCAGTGAGTGCGCTACACCTGTGGGGTTGTCTTATTGAGACTGGACCAAGAGTAAACGTCGACTCGAAGCCTCTTCTGGCGCAATTTGGGTTTTTTCAGTGTTTGTAATGTCCAAAATAAACTCCTGTCCTCGACAAGGTCGAGTATCTGCATGCGGCAAGACTTAGTCTCTTATAGTCTCTTAGCCATTCTCGGCGGCCATGCCCATGCTACACAAGAAATAGTATGAAGAGTGGTTGCCCCACCCTCTTCAGTCTGCTTATCTATCATCAGTGGAAGCTGACCAAGTGGTGCACAACTGTGGCTGGGATGCACCAGACAATGTCATGCAATTCAGGCCTTCAAACGCTCTGGAACAAACTCCAAGGCGTCCGGATTCGCTCGAATAGCCTGTGGCAAAACGCCCCCGCAGACCGCTTCGGCTTCTGCCACTCTCTGTCCTAAGCCTCTGTAGCAAAGCCCGTCTCGCAGCGGAGCTCCGCCGCTGCAAAAGCGAGGCTGCGCCCGTCCCCGGTCACCGCTGCCAAGACGAAGCTCCGATCCGATCGGAACTGCTCCTGGTGCAAGCGGCAGGGCGAAAGACAAGCAGGGAGATGTAGGCCTAAGTAGGCATACAGATTGGCACTCTTTGGAGCTAAGCATGTCGGTGCCCAAGAGAATCTGGAGCCTAAGCCCTAAGCCTCAGTGCTTCTCCCATGCAACGAGCTCCGGAAGCAGCCGCAGGGCCAAGGGATTGGCTCGCAAAATCTGCAGCACAAAGCTGTCGTCATTGAGCAGGCTCTGGTCAACCTCAATGTTTCGTGTGTCTGGCCCGTCACAAGTGCGTTTGATTGCCCGAGGCCGTCAAGCAGCATATCTCATGGCCCAGCTGCTTGACGCGACGGCTGCAAGGACCACTTCAGGATCCCTGCAGCTCGTGGACCCGGAGAGCAATTTCTTACACAATTGGGCGGGAAGATACAAAGGAGGCCTGTGGTACTTGCCCTGAGCAAAGCCAAGAAGGTCTCCGTATTGGCGAACTGTCTCGAGCACCACCTACAGACGACAACGCTGCAGAATGCTTCAAGGCATGAACGCGCATGTTGGGGCAACCCAGCCCTAATCGCCCCAATCTTGCAGGTCGAACGGATGCGCCTCCCGATGAAATGCGCCCCTCTGAATTCGCCGCTTGGCATCTTCATGAGATAGCCCAGCCATGGCTGTGAGAACGCATCACACGGAATAGTTTCTATCTCTCAACGATTCCTCCTCAAACTCTTGACGGACAGTTAGCTGCACACCGATGTGTTGCAAGAACTGAATCGCCGATGACAACCTCGCGAGCCACACATACTGCTGTACCAGTGTGTACCCGACAGCTGTCTTCCGCAATGTACGAGTCTGACGTGGCAGCCTGAGGTTGCGGACGCAGCATGCTTGAGGCTGCGCTGTCAGGCATCGTCATTGGGATCGGCGAACCCTGAAAGCACATTCGCATACACGCCTCTGGAGGCATCAGCTAGTACTTCGGCATAAACCTTGTTTTTGAATTTGATGGCATTGCTTTCGACCTCCTCCAGCACCTCAGCAGCGTGAGATTCAGTGAGAGATCATGCCTCATCACAGGCACAAACATCATGTATTTGCGACTTCGTGGAATCAGAGCACATCTTTGACTTTCTTGAGGATGGCATCCGTAGCCCCAGGAACACGCCTTGAGGCATCCTGCACAGCCTGGGGAATTCGCAGCACACTTATGCCAGATCGCTGCATATGCTGCGAGCCTCTGCAGCCCTCCGCTTATAGATGTTGTGGCTGGCGAAGCGAGATCGCCTGCAGTGCAGAGAAATCAGCTGTGGAAATGCAATCCGCGATGAACGCTTTGCACCCTGCAGCGATACGCGAATGCGCATACAGTCAGTTTGTGCCCTGTGTTGCGGTCATATTCAGCCTCTCGTCGCACGAGCTTGAGACATGCAAGTTGCGGCTTCCAACCTGAGCCTAGCATAGCGTTGTTTTCTAGTGCCAATACCTCGAGCCCAACCCAATTATCCAACTTGACGGCGATTATCCCGAGAGCAAGCAGGGCAAAGATAAGCATACAAGTGTAAGCAGGTAGTGACAGGTAGTGTAAGTGCAAGCAGTGTATAGTGTATATCTGTGTAGTGCAAGCATGTGTATTATAGACAAGCAAAGTGTAAGCAGGCAGTGTAAGTGTAGTGCAAGCACATGTGGTGCAAGCATGCAATATTTTTGCTGCAAAGAACCTTTTCGCAGAGCCTTCGGGAAACGGGCAAGCAGGGCAACGTTTGTGTGGCACGTGTGTTCGGCAGAGTGTTTCGGTAACTGAATAACTTCGTCATAGCACGGGGTGGGTCTGGCATAGTTTATTGATGACATACAGTAGGTGGCGCGTGTGTATGTGTATGTACTGTATGTGTGTGCATATATATGTATGTATAATATTATGTATGTGTGTAGGTCTGCATGTCGTATGCCTGCACGTGTCGAAGTGTGCGTGCGTACGCGTGCGTGTGTGTGTGTGTGTGCGGCGCGGCAGGGGTGGTGTTATCGGCGAGATTTCCGATCGACAGAGAACGTCTCCCGAAGATCCGGTTCCACTTAAAAGTGGGGAGCGACTCGCTATGGCACGGCATGAGGGGTGGGGTCTTCTCGTCGCTTGGACCTGAGCACAGAATCGGGGCGAGCGAGTAGCAACGGAAATCACCGAAGTTCAGACTCCGAGAGGGCAGGTGGCAACAGAAATGACCTGGGCTCAGACTCCAGGAGAACAACGGCTGGCACAAACAGCATCCACCTCGTTTATCAAGCGGGGAAAATGAGCTTTAAAAGGCTTCAAACAAAAAGAAGGAAACATCGGAGCTCTCAGCCGATGACCGTGCCACTCACTTCTGTGCTGAAGCGTGGACATCACGAGAACGTGAGCATGCACGGGCGCTCTGGGTGCGCGAGCGCGCATGAGCCCGCAGAGGAGTGTGCAGATTTGCGTGAGGTTTAGGGTTTGGGGCTTTGGCACAAGACATAATATGCAAGTTCAGGGCTTACATGGGCTTACTTAACCTTCGTGACACACATGCACATGGTACATGCATGTGCGCGCCCTCGGTCCGCGAGCGCGCGTGAGCGTGCACATGGTGTGTGCAGATCTGCATCTGTTCAAGGAATTTGACAGTTACTTAAAGGACCGGATACCCGCACAAGAGTTTATCCGTGGATAGTGATAAACGAACTGATGATCCCTCTGGAGCCTTTCAGAGGAGTGTGCGTGGGGTTTATGTCTGCTGTGTATTGTGTTGCGCTGTTCGTGGTGTTATGTGTGCTGTGCTGTATGGTGTGTGGTGTTCAGTCTTCCGAAGAGCTTTCTGCGTACTGAGTTTCCAAGCCAAGCCTCTTCAAGAGTTTTCCGCGTACAGCGTTTGGCGTTTGGTGGGTTTACAGTCTTCCGAAGACCTTTCCGCGCACTAAGTTTGTACTCCAAAAGAGCAGTTTCCAAGCCAAGCCGCCAGAAGAGCATTCCGCGTACTAAGTTGTACTGCGCAAAAGCAGTTTGCAAGCCAAACTGATAGAAGAGCTTTCCGCGTACTAAGTTTGTACTCCAAAAAAGCAGTTTGCAAGCCAAGCCGCTGGAGGAGCATTCCGCGTACCAAGTTTGTACTCCAAAAAAGCAGTTTGCAAGCCAAGCCGCTAGAGGAGCATTCCGCGTACCAAGTTTGTACTGCAAAAGAGCAGTTTGCAAGCCAACCCCATGAAAGAGCATTCCGCGTCCTAAGTTTGTACTCCATGCAAAAGAGCGGTTTGCAAGCCAGTACAGACAGCGTTTAGTGGTGGGGGGAGGGGTGCTTTCGTACTGATGCCAACAACTTTCTTTGCAACTCCGCAGTTTTGACGATGGCTTGGTGCCAGAAGTTCCAGGGGCCCATAGACCTTTGCTCCGCTCTGCGGAAGAAGCGCCGCACTGTTGGGTTCCGTGCGAGTCGTGGGGCTAAAGCAGCGAGACGGCATGGGTGTAGTGGCAATGCTACCCATCAAACTGCAGCCACCCGGCATTGCTGCAAAGCCTGAAGGCTACCACGAGATCAAGGACACTTGCTTGTTCCAGCATGTGGCGATCAATAGGAACACTGCTCTGCACAGCGACGGTGCACCTGCCTGGCCGAAGCTTGTGAAGCAGTTGCACAACAAACGTGTGAGATCGTACCACGTCTCACACAACAAACACGAGTTTGTGAGAAAGGTGTCGCGCAAACGTGGAGGTGTGCTCCTCGCTGGAACTCAATGCGTGGATAGGTTTTGGCATGCCCTTGGCCGGTACATGTCTGCGACAATCCACAGCAAAAAGGATGCCGGAGTCAATCCCCGCGTCCTCATGTACCTTTACAGTTTTGTTTGGCGATCCCAGTTGAAGATCGACTGCGACTGTCGAAAGCAGCTAGGGAAGGTCTGCTGAGAAAACGTGCAATGCCCTAAGTTTCAAGGCAATATGATCCTACATAGTCACTTCAAGGAGCATAAATGCAAATTGCTCACATTCGCTGGCAGGCGTGGGTTAAAATCACATTCGAATAGTATGCTGCTTGCGAAAACCCACGCGGCCTTTTACATACGTGTGACCTGACAAGTGCATCCCCAAAGTGTGCACGGATTCACGGAAAAACGCACATCGACACGCACGATCCCTGTTTGGGGTTGCCGGTCCCGGTTTTAAATGAGCGGTGTTTTTTATTATTCTGTTCCAATCCGAAGGACGCAAAAACCTCTTCCGCACAACCCTTCCGCTGCTTCTGCAGCCTTCCGCGCCCCGAAGCCTACAGGCACATTTCTGAATCACTGCATGTCGTCCCTACTGCGTCCCTTCCGCGGACCTTTTTGCAAGCGAACCCTTCCGCAAGAGCATAAACCCTACTTGACGTATCTCCCTGACATTCGGCACGGGCGGGCAACATGTATTATGAAACCGCCAACAGCTTGGTTCATAACTGGGCTTAGGGATTTCGGGATAGTGTATGTCTCCTTCGACGGACCCGACGGACGTATTCTTGTAACACGGCGGCTTACGTATTCAGACGTATTTGTTGCTTCTGCGCCCTTCCGCGGAGCAACGCCTTCCGCAGCCCTTCCGCGTCCTTCCGTGCGCACAGTCCCAGAGCGATTTTCAGATCGAGTGAACGTTTTCGACATGCAGCGCCACGTGGAAGGGTTGAAAGTGGAAGTTAAAAGTTTGCACGGATACACAGAAAACTCACAGAAAAAACGCACATCGACATGCATGATCCTGTTTGGGGTTGCTCGGCAAAGTTGTAAATGCGCTCCGCACCACAGCGGATCACAGCGGGAGCGCGCCGACATGCAGCGCCACGTGGAAGGGTTGCGCGGGCGACGTAATGCACGTAAAAAATGAGCACGAATACACGGAAAAACGCACATCGACACGCACGACCCTTGTTTGGGGTTCACTTTCGTCGAGTGCGGTGGGACCACCCCCGACAGTAAAAAAGAAGATTAAAAGAATACTAAATGAAGACCAAAACAAGGCCAGATCATGCCAGATTAAGGGCTATGTAGCTGCTATTGGAATACTAGAGAGTTGAGATACACTGCCATTAAAATACTGGGAGTGTAAATAAACTGCTAGTAAAATACCAGGAATACTCGGGGTTTAAGTGTAACGTAAGTGGAAGCATGTAGACCAGGCCAAATATTCCCCAACGATTTTTTCCAAAGAACGCTTCGCAGAGCTCTCGAAAAATGACAGAATCAGACCGGACCAAACACAATGACAAATACGAACAGGAAACAAACAGCAAAAACCAGAGAAACGCAGGAGAAAGCTATCAACCTGGGAAAGACAGTAACACAGTAGGGCAGAGGCTATGAAAACGATTGTCCCGTGATTTTTGTTCCCGGAGACACTGATATGGAGCAATACTAGTTACTAGTAGCAAGAACACCAGAATCACAGGAACCCTCAACGGCGCACTGACGATGTTACTGATGCCCGGCGAATCCCGAACTGCAAGAGGGACATATGGGGAGTGCAGGGCATAGTGGCATAGGCTGCAAACCCTGAATCCCAAACCCGAAGCTCAGACAAAAAGGCACACGAAAGCCTGGTGGTGCACATACGAAGTCGTCAACGGGCCGATGGGCCGATTCATGACGGAGGGAATTCAATTCCTGAGGAGCCCCAGCAGCCGCAACTCCAAGGCCAGTGCCCGTGATCCCGAATTACGTGGACAAAGTGACGGCTAATCCACCGTATATGCGATTTGAAAAGCAGGGCACAAGAAATGATATACGTTGCGAGCCAACCGCTCTAGAAGGACCGGTGCAGAGAAGTGGCCTTCCAGGCAAGACATCACGAAGAGCCCTAAACGCAAATTGAGATGCGACTGTCTGAATGCTCAAGCAATCTTAAGCCTTGACGAAAGTCGCAAGCATCTCGCAAGCCTCATCTATTTCAGGAAACCCATGCGCGCGAAGTTCTGCGAAAAGAGAGGCCTGTCGCAAACGGCCGCGAGCGTGGGGCGCACGGGGGACAGCGGAGGGCGGCCAGGTCGACTCTGAGACCAGGAGCGAGATGAGCGAGCGGATGTACCACGAAACCGGACCGCAGCCTCCTTACGGGTGCAGGATGACGACCGACCGAAGGAGGGCACACAGTTCAAGTCTTATCTTAAGGAGACGCTAAATTCCCTCATGCGCACTGAAACCCGACAGGAGTGGCACGGGAAGACGCCTTACGACATGAAGCTGCTTTAGCCTCAAGCCTTCGAGCGACTATGTAGTTCATTTCTGGCATACCCCAATGCTTAAATTCGCAAGGAGTCTGATGGAACTGCCCGCAAACCCTGCCCCAAAGGGACAGTGTAAATATGTGTGAAGTACGATATATAGCTTCCCTTGAAGGGTCCACTCGAGGACTCTCCGAACTCTCGAAGAGTGAGCGTCCCCCACTCTCGCAGTCTTTCACCTCGCTTCTCCAAGGAAAACTGTCGTCCCAAGTTGTAGGATTGTGGTTTGGTTTCGGAACCTGCCTAGACCCTAGACACAACTTTCCAGGCATGGTCACTCAATTCATCTTACAGCGGCGAGTGTCGACGCACGTATGTTCAACATGGACCGAGGGGACTGCAGAGGTGGATCCAACGGATTCCCACGGCATGGCATGCCTGCGTGGAAGATTCATAGGTAACAAAACGCAGAAGCTCGGATTGAGTGGTGATGACAGTGAACAATGTGTTCATCACTTTGCATCAAACGAGGTTTGGAAAGCTGCAGAACTTGCCTATGGCGATGACGAGGAAGTCTGGGCTAACGCGAACCATCTCACAGTCCTGGGGCACCCTCACTTCTCCAAGGCGTTTTTACCTTAAACTCCGTGCCTGGTTCGAGCAGTCATGCGGAACTCCAATTCACTCAGCCCGCACCCTCACCGAATGCTGGCACAATACCCTTGCTCTGCCCTTGCCAGTGCCAAGCTCTTCTTGTCTTCTCCAACTGTTCGTGTTCAAGCGACCCGTGACACTTGTCTTCAGCCGTCCTTGATGGTGCCACGCCCTTCGCATTTTCCTGCTGAGGCGGAAGTTGGGCTGACCAGGGTACTGAGGCGAGCATCAAGCAGGCCTACACAGGTGCCGAGCAAAAGCGACAACAACCAAATTTGCGTCTGCGGGGTACAAAGCTTGAAGAAGTGTCGACCATTCTGACAGGAGCGATGTGCCTACTTAGACCTCAACAATCTCAACATTCCGACAAAAAAATGTGGAGTGTGCCACAAGCACTCGCAACATGACGTCCTGTGGCCATTCGGCTGAGAAACCGTCCATCCTGCAGCCATGCAGAGCAACACTATGCCAGTACGCAGATTTGAACAGCCCCCAACAGAACCTCGAGCTGCATCTCTCGATTTTCCAGGAGGTTGTTCAACAGCGGCAGGACCTTCTGCACTTCTGCGCGGCTTCGGCAAGCTTGTAAAAGAGTGGAATGCGTGTTGACAACAAGACGTGGTTTCCTTTCAGCACCGTCATGGCATGGCAAGTTAGGGCAGCGTGGGTTGAACCCAGCTGCTGCGATGAAGCTCTACGACTTTACGATCTCTACGGTTTCTCGGGCTCTAGCGGAAAACAGCTGTGCAACAGGCTTTCTACTTGGATCAAAACAGCAAAATGGTGAGGTGTGCTTCCGTAGCATCGTAGTGCTACCTGCACCTGGACAGATGGCGCTGGCGCTCCCGAATTTCATGTGGGCATTCAATCCTGCTGAAAACGAAATTAAGATTTGGCACTGAGCGCCGTGTGTCGATGTTCCATGGATAGTGAGAGAAGTCAAGGTGGTGAAAGGATCCATAGGTGTTGCGCCTTCCGGGATGTTTCGGACACCAATCCTCGTTCCCTGCACTGGGGCACAGGTCACCGACTACGATGACAATCTCCTCGGAGGCGAAGGGCGAGCTTGAGTTCGAGGTGCTGCTAGCAGTGCTGCTAGCCTCCTCTTCCACGAGCGCCCACAAAGCCTTTCCCCGCGTTCCATAAGCAGTGCGAAGGAAGCGGCCTTTGCCGCAGGTAAAGCAACCCATTCCAGTAGTTCCGCCACCCCCTCCGCTCTGGCCACACCAGCAATTCCCGGTTCCACCACAATTCAGCCACATCGACTGAGCCGATGCCACGTTGTAGAAGTGGGTTCCTCTGACGAGCTGAGCAGTGTTTACACCCCCGCAAGCTGCGCGTGGCGCGTCTCCGTAGACGGTTGTGGTTGCCCAGTGGTGGTAGCCGTAAAGGTTGAACTCCACGGACTCATTCTCTCCCGCAGAATCCCTGTGGTCTTCCACAGCTGCCTTTTGCAACCTCGGTGGGGGCGGGGCTGGGCACCGGAATCGAGACCAATTCAAAGGCGGCTTCTTCGTTTACCAGACATGCATCGTGAGTTTGCGAGGTTTCGCTTATGCCTGTTGCAGCTGGGCTGGACAGTTGGACCTGAGAAGCTAGTAGAAAAGAAGTCTGCGCGAGTGCAAACCCAGTGGCTGCAGCGCATTCAGAGCGCACTGCCCCTGCTCGCACTCGGAGTCGCGAGTCAAAGCATCACCGGCTTCTGGTTCGGCCCACGTCAACCCCAGTCCTGCCAGCACGGCGAGCACAAACAGGTTGCCCAGACTTGGCATCGCCGCCATTGCCGCAAGGAGTCCTAAGCCTGCCTTCTCTGAGCCCAGACTTGCGCAACAGCAAGAACTCCGGACAATGAGATTGCTCGCTCCAGGCTGTCCTCCGCGCGTGCATGTGTAAGGACAGGACGTTGCGCTCGGCTTTCTCTATGCCCTCCAGCCTCTGGCAGTCGCACGCTGTGACCCGAGATGCTCATGTGGTGAATCTTGAAGCTTCTTCCAGAATGCAGGTAGGCCACACCAGAATGCGACCGTGGAGCGCAGCTCGGACAGGCCTCAAAACACGGAGGAGAAGGCGCTAAACCGGTGCAACCAGCCTGTGCCAATGATGCTTGACATTGCGCACAAAGACGGTGCCGGTTGCTGCAGCCAACTTTACGAATGCTTTCCTGTGGGGCTCGCACGGCTGATCCACGTAGACAACATGGCCTTACTCTGAAAAGTCGAACTCTCTCACATGGCATCTTGGCGAAAGCCTACACTACATCGCATTGCTTTGAATGTTGTCTGACAGCTTCTGCGAAGGTGTCCGATAAACGAGGAGCAGCATTAAATTGCCGGAAAACAAGCAGCGCCAGAGGTGAAACTCTGAGCCCAACAGCTCGGAAGAGCAAAGCGACTCCTGTACTGCAGGTCAAGCAGCCCTTGCATCTGCTGAATTTGCCTTCTGTTCCTAGGTCTTCGAAGTTGTCGTATCATCAGTAGAAAGCAAACACAGCGGGCAGCTTCTCTGAATCCCATGGCCCCCTTGGCAGGGAACAGAGGCTTTGCTTGGCGCATATTCGTGCATCTGTACGACAGGTCGGATCGCGTGCAGCGGGCGTCCTTGCCAGGGCTCGGACCGCCACAACAGCAGTAAGGAGCATACACAAGCGGTTGTTTCGATGCTGAAACACCAGATATTTCTTCCAGGGAGCGCAGCGTGTCAACGGCCATCTGCGCGATTTCAGTCTGGGTAGTCTAGCATGAGGAGCTGTCAGTGGTATCACTGTCCTGCATGGCTTACTTAGCTTGCCATTTCCGGAGGCAGTGGCTTGTGGAGGAGGCTGAGGCCTCCTTTCTGTTGATGAGCGAGGCTACAAGGTAGCCCGGGATGGTCAAGAGCGCGAAGACGATGAGCAGCCAGTCCTCCGCCTGGTCCTGCCGCCCCCGGAGCGATTTTGGCAGAGAAATGTGATCAAATGCAACTGACAAGTTCACCCCTCACGCTGCTCTACCCACCTTCTGAACGTACCAGAACCCTATCAAATAAGAAATCAAACTCTGGTGTGCTGGAGAAAGAAACTATTTCAGACTCCCACTTGGAAGAAGTCCAATGTGTCATCGCCAGTTGGGAGACTCTGGGGGGACTCTGAAGGCGGAGTGCTGATATACGTTGGGGCTGCGACAAACCCTTTGAGCACCCCCCTCCCGGCTGGGATGTGGAATGAACTAGCGGTTGCCACTATTCTGTGGCTAGGGCTTGGGGAGTGCTCAAACAAGAAAGCTCCCGAGAACCTGGCCAACATCCTTAGTTTCAAAAGTTGACTCTCGAACACGACATGTTCAAGTCTGGCCTATTAACGAGACCGCAGTCGAAGCAGAGGTGGCCTGTTGCGTAGCTCCAAGAATGAAGGCCGCTGTGGACGCGCCAGTGCCGAAGACGAAGACGTTGGCAAAGGCGCCCGGGCTCGCCTAGAGGTCGCAGTCACAGGCAGTCCCACGCAACTCGAATAGTTCCGCACTTTCTCAAGCGCGGCGATTTGCCAGCCTCCCCAGGGAAGAAATCGGCAAAAATCGCCTTGTTGGTACTCTCGTACACGGCCCTGCCAATCCCCATGAAGACGTAGAACACCTCGTGTAGACAAGAGAACAACCATGGCTCTGCGATTCGACGGCTCTGCACCTACGGTGAGGTCGAGAAACTAAGACGCCCCATCCCCAGGTCGCGGGATGCCCCACGTACCTCTCAGGACAAGGAGAGAATGTGATATACTGGGACGTGAACCGCAAAGTTCGGCGGATTCTGCACGGGCCGGCCTGCTTAGAACCCCCAGCAAAAGAAAGCTGACAGCTCCCAAGGCCACAACAGGCCCCTTGCCAGTCTTCCTGGGTGGTGAAGCGATTGAAGCAAGAGTACAAGCTGCAGAAACTTTGCAAAAGTGGGGAAGTCGGGGGCAAAGGCTCGCAGCAGTCACACCGAACACTTTGGACAACACGCTTGCCAATCCCGACAGCATCGCACCTCAGGAACGAGGGGAATCGTCGAAGGTTCTAAGCTCGAAAAGCTGAATTAACACTGAGGCAAGGAGCCGGCGAAACCGATGAAGTCGCTGCTTAACGCCGGTGTGAGGATGTTCCTGCCGACATGCAGCAGTATTGTAGCAGGCCTGCTTCAGTGAAGTAGTGGCCACCGTTGCCTCCCTACATAGCCACCAAGCCATGCAGCTGCAAATCCGAATGTCAAATTGGTGCACTGTAGGACCTTGGAACTCTGTCCAGGCCACATCTCCAGGACATGCTAGGACACTGAACCAGAGACAACATCGTGACTCACAAGCACGGCCCATCAGAGGGAAGAGCCCAGATCTTTGGGTCACTCCAGAGCGCGACTGCGCTCAAAACCTCGCGGCAAACACGGTAGCCACGAGAGAATCACCCTGCGGGCCTACTTTCGATGCGGCATTGCCTTCGCAAAGACTGACCCCCGCTGGGCCGGCTTCTCAAAGTTGGTTGCCAAGGCCTCAAACCAAGACGGATCGCTTCGTGCCGATATTAGATATTATCAACAATTGCAAATTGCGCGTTCAGCTTGCCACCATGAACGCGATAGTTGACGCAACTGCAAGACCAGAGAAAATGTAAAAGACAACCTCGGATCAACAGGCAAGATATCGTGAGACAGGCATGAGTCAAGCTGTCAAAGCCGGATCAGCACAGAGGAAACCGATGATGCACACCGTGTCGCCGAGTAGTCCAGATGGGCATACTTGGTCAAGATGGTTGCTGATGCTCTGACTAAGCTCCTGAGCTTTGCAAGAAACCTAGAAAGGGGCCTTGGCGTTATTAGTTACCAGTTACCAGCTACCAGTAGGGCTTCACTGTCTCTGCTGCTTAGCGGCTCCATGGCTAAGAACACCAGAGCAAACGACCCGGCAAACTCTGCTGTAACAGCCTGGGCCTGCCACATCTGAAGGCAATGGTAGTACCAGATGCCAATGCCAAAGCTTGAAAAGCAGCCTTGCCTCTTTTCCCTCGGCTTTGGCCACCCGTTCGCAAACGGAGCTGAAGAATGCACCCTGACATGTCCAAAGGATACCGGCCCCGATGCCGCCTGTCGTGACACACGCACCCATCAGCAATGTCACACGAGCTGTAGCATTCCGATGGCCTATCAATGCTCCCAGCAGCATGGTTGGCAACTGCAGGTCCGTACCCTCAATGCAGGAGCCGGTTTTGGCATCCTTTTCGGCCTGGGTGTTCTGCTCACCTACCACGGGTATGTCTCTAAGTGCGAGGGTCCGATATGGTCCTGATATGGTAAGTTTCTCTACACAGTGGAGGGTCACGATGCTTCGTGCTTGGGGCCGGGCACACATTGATGCAGCCGTTGCGAACAGACCGACGTAAACTGCGTACCTCACCGGCAGGTCTGGAACAAGCTGTGCACAGGACCACCGATTGTCTCCGCCAGTGCAACAAGTCTGTCTTTGCGAACAGGGCTCAGCCCCATCGACAAAGACAAGCCTTTCTTCGCTCCGATGAGGCTGAACACCAGTGCAGAGAAAAAGAGGCTGCAAACCAGAGTGGCACCATAGAGCCTCAGTTGCAAAAGATGCATGACAGTTAGCAGTCTGGTGTCAAGAGAAGCAATGCATTCCACCCAGGGCTCCTGAGCAAAAGGCATTGCATTTCCTGCCTGGCCGGCCGAATTGGTTAGCACGGAAGATGCGTACCTGCGCAAGGCATGCTCGAGCAAGCGTGATATCAGGATCATCGAGCAGAAGGCATCTGAGCATCCAGGTCACAATATTGGTGTTGTTACCGTCGCGTGGTTGATAGCGAAGGTCCAGCTCATGACCTTGCATGAAATTCGATCACTCTCTGCCTAGAGCGGTAGTCTCCAGGATTCAAGATGATGCTGAATGCAGGCACATCACGGCGCATCGTCCTCTGTCAGATTTGCTACAAGACCTATCGACCCAAACCCGGTGTTTGAAAGGCCTGCACCTACCCAGGGAACACTGCCTAATCCATCTAATCTGGCATGGCCGCTTCCTCCGCTAAGAAAGCAAGGGTGCCCCCTTGAACCCTGATGAGCTTCAACAAAACCGGGCTGCTGGGTTCGTCACAGCAGTCAACCCGTGGTAGAAACCCAAATGGAAACTCTTTGCTCTGTTTCATCTCAGCTGCAGCGAACTCTCTTCTGCACAGCCTGGCCTCCTGCTGATAGCGACAAGGTAACTGAAAAATCTTTCTGATCATGTCAAACCGGCTGTAATTGCATGTTACCGGATGCTATCACGGATCCTCCACATCCGGAATTAACGCTGCCGCCAGTTGCGCTTCTGGTCCTCTGCCGAGACAAAGCTACCCAGGACAGCGACATCAGCAGATCCTATGCTGTCACGGAAGCGGTCCGACGTTGAAGGAGCCCATGGCGTTCGCACGGTCGCCTGCTGACGCCATGGCTGCAACTTGGGGTCGACCGGCCGACGTCGAGAGCCGAAACAAGAAATGCAAGACTCATTGCAATCTTCTCGGGGGCTGGAGCTTTCAGTCATTTGGGTGGGACCCGCGTCTTTCTGCTCCGCCCCTCAGAAAGAATCAGCCCGACTGACCTAATGCTGTCGTAGCAAGGGCTTTTTGCTGCAAAGGTGTTCCGCTTTGTTCCAAAACTTCTGTTAGTGGCACCAGTTTGAGGATTGTCAACATGGCACTACATGTCTACATCGAGACGAAGACACGCACCGAGCTGACGACCATCACAAATCTCACGTCGCTGCTTTAAGTCTGCCTGTCCGGTGCACCCGAGACAAAGGAATACGCACGTGGAAGGATACAAAAGTGCTGTGGAGATTCCGGAGCATGATACTATCTGAGAGAACATTCCTCGCTTGTGTCGCTGTTGATGCCGACGTACTCCACCTGCACCCATACACAAAGGCTGTGCAAATGCATAGCCATGCATTGCCGGCATAGCCTATGCACGAGTTCGTGGACAATCCGTGTCCATGTTAGTTGCTTAGGGTGTGCTGAGCGGTTTGACAGTCCCGGCTGGGACCGCGGCATGCGTAGTCCCGGCCATCCCAGATATCACGCCGCTACGCACATGTCCAACTGAGCGCATATTTCGGGGGAGCCTGTCCACCACCATCGATCCACACTCGTGTCTAGAGTCTACACACATCTTGCGATCGGTGTCTGACGCCAAGCCTGGAGCGGATTTCCGACGCATCTTCGCGCATTTTACATTGGTCAGCATCATCGGGCATCGTTTGGTCCGTTGTGGGGACCTTGATGGGCGCTAGTTTGGGACTGGAGTGCACCGGATGATGCTCATGCCCATGCTGGTCCTAATGATGATCGAGATCTCGCCTCGGCAGGTGCATTGCTGAACTCAAGCCAGGCTGCTACCGCCTGCTATCGATCACGCAACCGCGAATTTTTTATCCAACAGTCGTTCTTATAAGTCATCTACCAGCATCAACCACATCACTCGCATGGCTGTCTCCGAGGATTGTAGGCAGGTCTCTGGTCTCCCCACAACACCACGGTGCCTGCCTTCCTAAGTCTGAGTCCACAGTGGGTTATGCTTCCACAGCATCGTTCCGCTCAGCGTGACATGCTCAGTGCGCAATCTTGTCACATAGATCCGATTCTGGTGAAGACTGCCCGTAAAGAGGGTCGGGAGTAGTTCTCCAAGGGCCGGAATATGCCGGAATTTCAGGGAGTCCATGGAACCGACCCGGAACTGCAGAACCGGAAACAACCGAACACGCACAGAACCGAACCGCAGGTGAACCTTGGAAACCGAACCCCAAAAGGTTCCTTCATCGACCTGTGCCTCCCCAGCCACTGCCTCCCAGCCACCTGTGTTTCGTTTCTGTGCCTCCCCACCTCTCCAGCGTCACCACAGGGGACGCGCGGGGGAGTACGGCTGTCAGCAAGACCCCCAAATTGCAAAATCCTGTACTCCGACGTGCTCCCTCGCGGGGGTACAGACCCCGAAGTGCCAAAAACTGTACTCCCCCGCGATCCCCCGCGACCCTGGCCCTGTGCCCCCAACGTGCCCTCACTTCTGCGAAGAAGAGACGTATACAGGGATTGGTGTTTGGCCCAATCACACCGCGAAAAAGACACATCATGCCGTTGGAAATCCCCAAAGAATGAGATTTCAGACAACAACCATGCCACCATGACCGGGAGCTGACCAACAGAATCTACTGGAGACAAAATAAACCAGTATCGGTAAACAGAAGCCTCACTTATGAAGTCACACTTGCGTAGCATATACCTGGCGAACCGTCGGAACCGCCAACCGAAACCGCAAGAACCCAACCGCACACTGATTAGGTTCGGTTCACGGAAACAGCTCGGAAACGAACCACGGCCGTTTCGGATGGAACTGGTGTTACGATCACATTGAATACATACTCTTCGGCTGACTGGGCGGAACGGCGCAGAAGGGCGTTGCCAAATATCTTCAGTTCCCGACCTGCCGCAGCCCTCTCGCTCTCAAAGCACGTTGACCAGCGACGAGTAAGGCGCATGCGAAGTTGATGCTCTGAGTTTGGTTTCATGGGCAGCAGCCAGCCTTGCAATTCGTCCGCCAGCGAAAACTGACTGCGGGTATTGACCCCAGGATCTCTGGCGTGATGTAGAACACTTGAAATGCAGCAAGCACACGTCGCGGTGTGTGAAAGTCTCCACCTGTGGTGATGACTTTCACCCGATGCAAGCAGGTCTTTGTGCCTGCCGCTGTTTCGTTTTGCCTCGCTCCTCGTACGAGCGCAGTGTCAGTTTTCGTCCGGGGACGGAGGCCGGGCATCAGGTTCGATTGTCAACGTCAGCATGCACTGCACAGGAGGCATGTCCGATCCGGACATATCCGGACAATGGTTTTGATCTTGAATGACATACTGTCCGCGTCTTTACCAACCATGTGTGGTGGCAACAAAAAGCCCCAGTGGCCCCAGTCCAAATTCTGCCATTTTGAGCCTTACGGCACCAGCCGGCCCCACCGCCACCACCACCATCACCCAGTCCACGAGCATCGCGCGCTTTACTTGGTCCTTCCTTGGTGCCGTGCAGGCCCGCACAGAGCCAGCGCACCGACTGAAATACCGACATGCTCCTAGCAAAACATCGCGCATACTGCGTTGGACTCCTACGCAGACAACAACGTCGATGCTGGAACATACGCACATAATTACACCAGACATACCACTTGATACACCGACAACGATCGCCGCTCTAAACTGTGCAGCGATCGGAGTCGAGATTTGTACAACGCTTTATATAAAGCAGAAGATGTTCGAAACTGCGTCCAGCTCTTAATTTGATTAGAGACACTTGCATCCTCAATCCGAGTGGTGTGCCTGACGGTCGAAAAGGGCACAGAAGTGATACACCAGGTGCCTCATGCGGATTTACTCGAGGGTGCGCTGATCTTCTTGGTCTGCTGACACTGCCGGATGCTTCTGAGATGGCAACCGAACACGCCTGGCATACCCAGGACAAAGCTCGGGACATGCTTACGCTCGCGGACATGTGTCCGTTGGACAAATTTAAAGTCTAGTCGGCATCGCGGCCCAGGTGGGCCGAGCAAAAACATGTCCTGCTCCGCTGCACCAGCACAGCTGACAATGACTCGGGCTCGGGGCATTTGTGTCCTATGGTGTCCTGATTCATGCTGACCTTCTGCATCATCCATCGCAACGTCTCCAGCTCTGCTTGCGTTGGCTCCGGTGCCTCTTCGGAAATTGACGGCACCAGGGCCGAGATTGTCGACGCCTCAGCGAGGTCCTTCTCCAGAAAGACGCCGCCCAGCTCCAGGCGACAGCCAGGGCCAGGGCCATCGCTCTCTCTCACAGGACACAGCTGCGGCGTGGCGGGCTCCTCCCTGTCGGAGTCGGGCTGCTCCACGGCGACGTAGTCCGCAATGTCGTCCGGCACTTCATCCCAATCGAACATGGCATATCATGGGATGAGCCCTGCACTAGCCAGGCGTGGCCTGAGTGCCTCGCACACAACATCTTTCAATGTGGACTGCGATGTAGCTTGCCATCATTTGCCTGGCATGACCGCACTTGCAAGCTGCCGTGTCTGTTGCGCTGGCTGCAACATCCTCTTCCTGCATGAGCCGAACTCGAGTGTGTGACTGCATGGGTTGCAATGCTCGAGGCTTCACGCCGCATACGTCGCCAGGTGCTGTGGCTGCCGTGAGACACATGTATCCGTTGCAAGGCATGCCAATGTGAAAGTTGCCTTGAGGAGTTGTACACCTTCGTGTAACATCTGCCTGTGCTGACACATCACCTTTCGAACATGTCCCGCCTCAAGGCCATCCAACCCATGCCCTTTACGAAGCCCCGACAAATCCAGCAGAAATCCGTTTTCTGTTGTCCAATGCATGAGAACACGTGGAAAGAGGCAGCGCGTTTCGCGCTTTGCTTGGCTACTGCTTTGCAGTTGCCATCTCTGCGAAGTCCTCGAATGCCGTAGCAAAGCTGGAAGGCGGACCAAGGCGGAGCACGGTGGCAGCACCTCGGAGTGATCACTTCTTCGTCTGCAAATACTCCAACTGCGCACGCCTTTTGGGCGTCAGCTCGGCAACGGCGGCGACGCGGATGTGCTGCCGTAGGTACACTCAGTGCTGCTTGATGTGCTGCGTCAGCTGATTGCCCAGTTGGTTCTCTTCGGAGTGCAAGACCAAAAGCTGCTTCATACGATAATTCATATCCTTTCGAAACTCTGGCTCTTCTGGCTCAGGGCTGCAGACACCTGAGGCTGCATCTACCTCCATCACCTCAGACCGACAAAGCTCCCATCTACCATCCCATTTGTTGGCGTGAGCAGTTGCCTGTCACCCCAGCGATCTCAACTGCCTCGTCTCCAGTGCCGCAGGCTGTGGCCGTTTTCTCGAGGACCGTGGTAAACTCACTGACGACGGAATCGGTGAGGTCCGTGCGGCTTATGGTGGCCATCAAGATCTGCCAAAAGTCCTTCAGGGCTCATGCAATGCCGTCTACGCACATTATCTACAAGATCCTGCAAGCATGCAAGAGATCCTCGACTTCGGTGTTCGGATGATTCTTGGGATTGTGTATCGTGAATACGCATACTCGAACTCTAGGAGTCGATGCTCGGAACATGTCATCGCATGTCATGGAACCATGAATTAGCAAAACCGCCAAAACCACGGCCAACGGTGACAGGGTCGATTCCGACGTGCTCGGGTTGACCCCGTGACATGAGGCTACTTGCTAGGGTTGGTGACTGGATAACCTGCTTTCAAACGTTCCTGCTGATGATTCGAAATCGAGTCTCAGGGTGATGACATGATATCTCCCAACCAACATAAATCTGTAGCTTTATCAGCTACTCGAATCATCGAACTGTTGTGAACTTCCTGAATCAACCTCCAAATCTGCCTGCTGTGGTTTACTGGCGTTTATTGCGGTTCTGACCACAGCCGTCGGCATCGGTAAATTTCGGCTGGCCCAGACATTTGTGGGCTTCCTATTCAGCAGCTGGGTTTTTGAACTCAGTGTTGGGGCTTGCGCTTTGGGCTATGGTTTGGGTTTGGGCACAAGGTTTTGTGAAGGCTGAGTTAAGAGTTCAAACGTTCAGGGTTTGGGGTTTAAAGTTCTCCGACAACCTAGGCTTCATGCCACAAGGTTTACAGTTTAAACTGGAGGCTGTGGTGTTGCGGTCTAGAGCTTAACAGGTCGCTGTCAGGACTCCCTGACTCATTCTGCCGGCCTTCCTTTCGGCTGAGCAGATGTTCCCTACTTCAGAGTATATAGACTTTGGCATGATAAAATCAAAAAGCGCGCCGTAGTGCCTGGTGGGCAGTCACTTCAGGAGCTTTGAAGCAAAACCTGCCTGTTTTGAACCCACGCGGTGGTTCTTGGCTTAGCCGGACGGCGCTGCGGGACGCTCAAAACTTGCAAATGAAGCCGAAGGAACGAGGCAACTGGTGGCCACCGTTCCACTCGTAATTCACTGCTTTTCTATGGATTTTCCGACAAAACGCTGCGAAATACGCCGCCCCATGCCACCCGACGCCCCCCGACGCTGCCCGATGCCGCACGTTACTGCCCGCTGCCCGATGCTGCCCGAATGCTGCCTTCCCGCCCGCGCACGTGCCCGAAAGCTGGTTTCCCTTTCGGGCAGCCCTTTGCCCGACGCTGCCCGAATCTGCCCGAAGCTGCCCGAAGCTGGAGTCTGGGGTCAAAAATGTATTTTTTTTTGTGTCAAAATGTCTTTTTTTGTCTGTTGTTCTACATACACATGTTTCGGCTGTGGTTCTAAGCTTTACGGTTCAGGTTTAGGGATTAAGGTTAAGGGCTTAGGAGGGTTTAGGGTTTCAGACTTGAAGCTTTACGGTTTAGGGTTTAGGGTTTGGGTGTAAGGTTTAGGGTTTAGGGTTCTGGTTTAGGGTTTAGGGTTTGGGTGTCGGGTTTACGGTTTGGGCTTTGGGTCTAAGGTTTAGGGTTTAGGGTTCTGGTTTAGGGTTAAGGACTTGGTTCTAAGGTTTAGGGGTTTAGGCATAGGGCTTAGGGTTCAGGATTTACGCTTGGCCGAGACTCCGCCGAGACCCGGCCGAGACCCTTTTTCGGGGTTCGCCAGGGTTTAGGGATTAGGGTTAACGGCTTAGGAGGGTTTAAGGTTTTAGAGTTGAAGCTTTACGGTTTAGGGTTTAGGGTTTGGGTGTAAGGTTTAGGGTTTAGGATTGTGGTTTAGGGTTTGGGCTTTGGGTCTAAGGTTTAGGGTTTAGGGTTCTGGTTTAGGGTTAAGGACTTGGTTGTAAGGTTTAGGGGTTTAGGGTTAAGGGTTTAGGACATAAGGCTTAGGGTTCAGGATTTACGCTTGGCCGAGACTCGGCCGTGACCCGGCCGAGACCCGGATTTAGGGTTCGCCAGGGTTTAGGGATTAGGGTTAAGGGCTTACGAGGGTTTAGGGTTTAGGGTTTTGGGTTGTGCTCTAGGTTTTAGGGTTAGGTTTTGGGAGCAAGGTTTAGGGTTTAAGGTTCTGATTTAGGGTTTTGGGGCTTGGGTGTAGGGTTTAGGGTTTAGGGTTGTGGTTTAGGGTTAAGGACTTGGTTGTAACGTTTAGGGGTTTAGGGTTAAGGGTTTAGGATAGGGCTTAGGGTTCAGGATTTACGCTTGGCCGAGACTCCGCCGAGACCCAGCCGAGACCCTTTTTCGGGGTTCGCCAGGGTTTAGGGATTAGGGTTAACGGCTTAGGAGGGTTTAAGGTTTTAGAGTTGAAGCTTTACGATTTAGGGTTTAGGGTTTGGGTGTAAGGTTTAGGGTTTAGGGTTGTGGTTTAGGGTTTGGGCTTTGGGTCTAAGGTTTAGGGTTTAGGGTTCTGGTTTAGGGTTAAGGACTTGGTTGTGAGGTTTAGGGGTTTAGGGTTAAAGGGTTTAGGACATAGGGCTTAGGGTTCAGGATTTACGCTTGGCCGAGACTCCGCCGAGACCCGGCCGAGACCCGGATTTAGGGTTCGCCAGGGTTTAGGGATTAGGGTTAAGGGCCTACGAGGGTTTAGGGTTTAGGGTTTTGGGTTGTGCTCTAGGGTTTAGGGTTAGGGTTTGGGAGTAAGGTTTAGGGTTTAAGGTTCTGGTTTAGGGTTTAAGGTTTGGGTGTAGGGTTCGACAGCGTAGTCGTCGCCCCGGTCAACTTTGCCGCAGCGTAGCGTTACCTAGTCGGCTTGCTTTCTTAGGGGGCTGCTTCTTGGCCCGTAAAAAAATGCTAAATTTGGGTTTTTAGTTTTAGTGTTTGCGGTGTTGGGACTCGGGGCCTGGGGGACTGGAATTTGGGATTTGGGGCCTCGGGGACTGGAATTGCGGATTCGGGGTCTGGGGCCTGGTAAAATTGTAATTGGGCATTTGGGGCTAGTATTTAGGGTTTAGGGTTCGACAGCGTAGTCGTCGCCCCAGTCAACTTTGCCGCAGCGTAGCGTTACCTAGTCGGCTTGCTTTCTTAGGGGGCTGCTGCTTGGCCCGTAAAAAAAATGCTAAATTTGGGTTTTTAGTTTTAGTGTTTGCGGTGTTGGGACTCGGGGCCTGGGGGACTGGAATTTGGGATTTGGGGCCTCGGGGCGCCTCCAGATTGACACTGCCGCTCCGCGGATTGACAGTGTCAATCTGGCGCCGGTCCGGTGTCAATCCGCGGGGCGGCAGTGTCAATCTGGAGGGGGGGAGGGCGCCAGATTGACACGGGCCGCCTTCAGATTGACACTGCCGCCCTCGGGATTAACAGTGTCAATCTGGCGCCGGTCCGCCTTCAGATTGACACTGCCGCCCTCGGGATTGACAGTGTCATCAATCTGGCGCCGGTCCGGTGTCAATCCGCGGGGCGGCAGTGTCAATCTGGAGGGGGGGCGCCAGATTGACACGGGCCGCCTTCAGATTGACACTGCCGCCCCCCCCCCGATTGACAGTGTCAATCTGGCGCCGGTCCGGTGTCAATCCGCGGGGCGGCAGTGTCAATCTGGAGGCGCCAGATTGACACGGGCCGCCTTCAGATTGACACTGCCTGCCGCCCCCCCCCCCGATTGACAGTTTCGGTGGCGGGCGGGACCGCCTCGAGATAGGCCCCCAGCCCCCTACCCCCTACCCCCTGCCCCTCTGCCCCACCCCCCTTCCCCGCCCTCCCCCAGCCCAGCACAGCCCAGCCCAGCCTAGCACAGCCCAGCCCAGCCTAATCCTGGCCCCTTATTTACATGTTGCAATTTACTCAAACTGTCAATTTACTTAAACTGATTTATGGGTGTCGGTTGCTTGCCTTAAATCCCGCCTTCCTTTTGCTCTTAAAACCACAACCTACGCTGTCGCATCTTGGCGCTTGCGCCTTCTAAAATTTAGGGTTTAGGGTTGTGGTTTAGGGTTAAGGACTTGGTTGTAACGTTTAGGGGTTTAGGGTTAAGGGTTTAGGATAGGGCTCAGGGTTCAGGATTTACGCTTG